AATATGTAGATACTGATTGAAGGTATTAATATTAAATCTGAGGGTTCTTTGATATAAAAGTATTAAATTCTGAAAAATCCCCAGGCCAGTTAAATGGGTATAAAGCAATTATTGTGAAAGCAATATTTTAATAAGTAAAAACTATATATATCATAAAGCAAGTAGATAGGATAGAATTCTAATAATTTTATTCTAATCTGGTAAGGTTAACGTGTTTTATCACCGAGTGGATCATATCATCGAATGGATCATTTGAAAATACACCAAAATCAACTATTTTTAAATATTCTTATTTTAATAACCAATCATTATTTCTGAAAATTGAAAGATTTAAAATAATGATAATAATTTAGCTTTTTAGAAATTTAGTTTTTATATAAACATCTTTATTAAATTCGACAAAAATTCGAAAATGTCACGATTTCGTTACAAAAAAACTATTTCTATAATAATTCTTATAGTGTTTTGAATATTCAAAAAAAATTAGATTTTCATAGTACAATTTTAATTAGATTTCATATATTAAATTTTTAAAAAATTCTATCGATAAATAAAGAAAGTGCACGGTTACGCACAGACGAATTTTGTATGTAAATTGAGTGATCCATTCGGTGATATGATCCACTCGATGATAAAACACGTTATATTAATTCGAATAATAGATTCAAATTAAGGATTAAGATATAGTTCAAAGAGCTATGATACAGAATCTTCTAAGTTAAAGATATACAGGATTTTGCTAAGCGAGCTAGCCCGATCGGGCTCTAGCTCACTTGCGCTCCAGCGCGAGCGCCCAATTCGGTCCCCTCCGAGGGGACCAATATGTCACGTGATATCACACCGTGACAAATCTTATAGATTTTATATCAATATTCTATATAAAGGGTTAAACTATTTATTCTATATTGAATCGTTATATATAAAACATTATATAGTTTAGTAGCTTTTCGAATACTTAATTTTTTGTTTTTTGAATAGCTTGAATAGTTAGAATGATTTGTGCTTCTTTATTAGTCATTTTTATAATAGATTATTAATAAATTGCATATTAAAATGAAGAGATAATAATTAAGGTGAAAATGGCCCATATAATGATATAGCTCATATGATGATAAACTACGTTATAGTATATGTATACTACTACAAAACTCCTCCTTTCGAGCCTTCTACTCTAAGGAGATAATTATATATATAATATATTCTCCATATTACTCTATAGATTATATGTAACTTACTGTCTATTTCTGATAATATTAAATATAATAGTTATCAAATGATTTGGAAAAATCGAAAATCATTAATAAGGTAGTATTTGCTTTTCAGGATTTATCATTATTAATATCAAAAAAGTACAAGTTTTTTGAAAAAAGTTTCTTATTATATTTTTCTCTACTCTTTTTGTAAACTCTTCTTATTATAAAAGTATAATATATATATACTACTCAAGGGTATTTATAATGAATAACAAGATAATAAATTACATCGAATAATCAGCTTCTAATTTGATAAAGAAAAAAAAGGGAAAATAAATAGTATACCTTAAAAATAATAAACAATATTCTATATTATAACTAAATAATTTATACAATTATAATAACCCCCTGTAACAAGTATACGACACCCCAATCGATATTTCTGATAATGAAAAGAACGATAACAATAAAGAAAAAAAGAATAAGCCACCAACTGTGTGAACAAGGGAATTCACTTCAAAAGAATGACTTCAATACAATGGCTACTGTATCAAAGGTATTTAGGCGAATGCAAAGGAGACTAGCTCTTTCAGTAGTGCTTATATAAGGCCTATTACTTTCCCTTATTAGCTAGCTCTTTAGACAGAATACAATACAGATATTTAGGGGCCTACTAATGATAATGGAAACCATATTTTCTGTATTTCTAATCTCATTATTGAATTAATACTAATTAATGATATTACAAATTACTTAATTTATTTATTCAAAATATCTTCTTACTTTTATTTCTTTTATTTCCTATTATCAATATTATAACATTCCGGAAAAGTGCTAGTACTAGCTTTAAGCAAGTTGGCAAGAAACCCGATGCTAATAAGAAATCTATTCCATCTAATCAATTTACTGATATAGAAGGATTTATCGATACAATAACTAATAATACCGATTCTCTGCAATAGGAGTTCAAGACTTCTCTTTATAAAGATATAATTAATACATCTCCTTATTCTCCTACTTCTTTCAATCCCTATATTTCTAATAAAACAATAGCTAAAGAAAGAAAAACTTAGGAAACTGCTAAGAATTTGAAGTTCAAAAGAAAATCTCAGAACTATTCCTTTCCAAAAGATCTCAATAAAGTTAGACAATTCTATAAAGGATATATATTCAAAATGGGGATAAAATATTAGATTAACAAATACTTTCTTTTTCGAATAACTATATATTCGAATACAAGGATTATTAACATATTTCTTCAGAATACAGTCATATTCGATTTCAAGCTTATTCAATAAGCTTTATTTAGGAGTATTGATAAGTTGATATTATATAACTTTTATAAGATTTTGCAATATTATAGAGTTTATATTAATATAAATACAAATCTCAATAATACTTTAATAAAAATATTTCTTTACAAAGAATATTACAATTGGACTACGGATTAGCTTTTGGAATATCAGATTAATGAGGTACAACTATTCGTATCTACGAAATAGGCCTACCTTTTTATCAGACTCGGTCCGAAACCACAAGTCGAACTTTCTGCCGATCTTCCTACCAAACCTCTGAACAGTAATCCAGCTGATCACCTAACTTTACCAAATACCAGCAAAGCTATTCCATCTGCTCCTCTTGAGGCATATAAACCCCCTCTATTTTATAGCTCTGGGGATATACGAAATGCTCCTGCAGGATTACCTGATGATAATGATAATCCGGATAATGATAATAATTGGAATAGTAATCAAGATAGTAATAATGGTAGAAGCAGCGGTAATGGTAGTAAAGGCAGTGATAGAGGTGATAGGGATAGGGATTATGATATTGATCCCAAAGTAATTTTGCCAAATTCCAGTAAAATTATATTATCTCCTTCAGGAATAGTGATTATATATATAATAAATCCAAAAGAACCTCTCTTGGATTTATCCAAAAATGATTAGATATCTATATTAATATTTTTCCCGTAAGTAATTATATTTCAGATTCAAGTTTATATACAAGATTATTATTCCGAATATTTTACTGCTAATCCCAAGAATCCTATTATATATAAGAAATCTAAAAAGAAAAAGATTAATAATTGATATTATAATATTATATTAATTCTACAAGCAAAAAGAGATTATTGAAGTAATCTGGATTGATAATCCGATTAATCCGATTAATACAATAACGAAAGGAAGCTATATCAAGCTCTTACTAATCTGATTAATACAAATAAGATTGATATTAAGGTAATAAAATAAATAGAATAGAATTAAAGAAAGGGATTAGTTTTGCTAATAAGAGATTAGGGACTTTAGCCAGCAAATAAAGGATTTTTATAATTTTATAAATTTCTTTTTAACTATTATATTTGAAGTTATAAAAAAGAGTTCCGAGTATGTGAATAAGAGAATTCATTTCAAAAAAATGATTTCAATACAATAACTATTATATTAAAGGTATTTAGATGAATATAAAGAAAACTAGCTTTTTTAGTAATGCCTATATAAGGCCTACTATTTTCCCTTATTAGCTAGCTCTTTAGACAGAATACAATACAGACATTTAGGGGCCTACTAATGATAGTGGGAACCACGTCTCCCGTATTCCTGATCTCATTATTGAACCAACACCAACTATATCTTTAAAATAACGAAAAATAATAAGAAAGACAAATTATTATTATTATTATTATTAGTAATTTTCAACCGGGCCGTATAGGCAAGCCTCCCAGGGGGCATTATGGTTGGGCTAACTGTTGGATGATCTTTTAATTTATATGATCCCTTTTTCCTAGGGATAGGATCTCAATACCCTCAGTAATCTTCCAAGCGATAACTAGTGTACTTGTGTCTTTGTCTCTAATCCTCTAAGTGTTTCCGTGCGTGCTTTCCGATCTCCTATATAATATTTATTTAAAAGCTGCTTTATCCTATAAGGATAGCTTTTGTATACATTCTATTGTAACATGATATGCCGCGTGCATATAAGAAAGACAAAGGAAATAGTAATAGTGAAAAAAAAGCCTAAATCTTTAGAAATAAAAAAGCAAAAGAAAGAATAAGAATAAATTTAAAAGCAAACCATTTTTTAAAGGGAAAATGATATAACGATCTAGCCTCAGGCCTAGATTAGTCATCCATTTGCCCCACCTAGTAGGTCAAATCTCGCTTTGCTTTTGGTTTTCTCTTAGTCCCCTTCTGATTCCCTTCGGATCTATAAAAGCCTTTTACAGGTTTACTCTTTGTATAATAGTTTGTTATTCTCTAGTATCGATAATTGATTCATTTTACTATTATGTCGTGAACCTGTTGTCGTCACAAAGAGGGCATTGTATTGTATTAGTGTATATACTAGCGCTAGTACTTCTATTATATTAATTACTAGCTTCCTATAAATAATAATGATCAAGAACGAATACAACCATAATAGACTAAAGTACTTTACACTTATCAACCAAGTTGATACCAACAGTAGGATTAGTCTGATGTCGTTGGGAATTCTGATTACATAATACAATGCATTATATAAGCCTCGAGCTTTTTGTCCCACAAACTTCAAGGTTATTTATTATGCTCACGCAAGGTACTCGAGTATAGAATTTGAATTGTGAAATGATAATAACTTTGCTCATTAATTTTGAGAGAATAAATAGTAACTGTATCTACCTCGTTCTTTACACTTGATATCATACAAATCATTCACCTGCCCCCGTACCACGCCCCCTGCCGCCGCCGATCCCGTCCCTAAATCCACGATTTTGCCATACCTGTATACATTTAACGTAATATATGAATCATATTATAGACAAAATCATCCTCGTTGGGTTTGTTTCTTTTGAGCCTTTCTCATCTCTTTTTCTTTTTCCTTCTCGAGGTACTTCTTCTGTGCCTTGGCGTCAAGACCCTTCAATTCGAGATCCCTCTTCAATTTCTTGGCCTTTTCACGTTCTAGTGCACGCTCCTCGGCCTTTTCCTCTTCATCCGCTTTTTGAAGTCTCTTGATAGTATCTTCACGAGTCATGCGCACTTTACGCATGACTTCCGGTCGGAAATGAGCGCCAGATGCAAGTTGATCCGTGATTCTGATGAAGTGTTCAAAGAGAGGAAGAACCCGGGTGTAATCGTCACCAGAAGGAAGTTTCATGGATAGATAGATGCGTTTCTTTGGGACAGTATCATCAAGTCTGTGAAGATTGTAAGTAAAACGAGCTTTCAAGGTTAGGGTGTAACATGAGGGGTACTTACTTCAAAGGTCGATCAATTGGTTGATCAGTAATGATGAGATGCTCAAGTAGATCTCCAGCCAAGTCCACTGCCTCAATCAATGCGGGAGTAAGCAAAAAGTCGGTGACCTCAGCGCTCTCGCTCATGACGGTAGCCCAATTTGGAAGCTTAGGACTATCCTTAGTGCTAGTGATGGAGACATCATATCTGTCATCGCGAAGTGACTTCATTGTCTCCTTGTTCACAATAGCCCAAACGAAGTTATCATAGGTGCTCTTGGTATCTTTGCGCAGTTCATGTGCACCAGGAGCTTGACCAGGAACAGTAAGGTTCTCTCTGCCATCAAAAGGATAAAGTATAGCTTCCATGCGCTCAACAGGTGCTGCAACGGTGTCAAAGAAGAGACTGAACGCATACTCAATAGCGAGTGCGAAGGGATTGTAACGCTTGAAAAGCTTGATGTTAACATCAAGGAATGCGACATTTTGACGACCAGTCGCATAGGTTGCGTACTCTTGAGGGGATCTCTCCTTCAACAAATCCTCGGGCAATTCGAGTTGCTTAGCCAATGACTTTGCGGTTCCTTCGTCTTCGATTTCTTGAGTCGTTGGAGCGCGGCCACCGAACCCAACTAATGCAAATTCCTTGCGTAAAACTGGCGCGTGTGCAGCCATCCATTTTTTTGCCTTTTTGCGGTTTGTGCCTGTTCCGAACAAGTGGATAGAAACGAGGACAATTAACAGTCCTAAAATGATACCTTCTTGCTTAAACTCGCTCAGAGAATGTCGCTCATGAACATTGTACCATTTGGTGTAAGGAACCGCAGCGCCAGTAGGAGTAGCTACTGGTCCAGTGTAGTCAGCCGCCGAAGGGATTGCGGAGAAAGCTGGAGTTGGATCTGGAGCTCCAGCGAAATCTGCGAAATCTGTTGATAGATGAATTTAGTACATGTTAGGTACGAAGAAGCATTGAGTGCAGATTTACCAGAATCTCCAGCTTGAACGGGAGCTGCAGATGGCTCGGAGCTTCCGAAGAGACCATTCATAATGCCGCCATTGTTGGTGAAAATTGATCTTGAATTGATGGTGAGCTGGAGCTTTCGTTTCGGAGCTTGAGATTGTGGGTAAATTACTTCCGATATCCATGCTAACTGTATCAAGGTTAACGTAATGCGGTGTTGTTCTGCCGTCGAACACATTTTGACCGCCTTTTGCTCGTCTCTTGGACAACCACAATCCCGAAGTTTACCCTTTACCAAATATGGTGATATGAAGTTTTACGCAAAGCACGTTCACTCAGACAGATATTGATCCTAATGCTTCCAAGCACATATGTTGAGTATCCATATTTGAAATCGGTACTAGGGAATAAGAAACTATTGAATTAGTCACTACATTGTAAGTGTATACTATGGGCTGGGATCTAGGAACTTCTCAAGCCAAAGCCATGAACGAACTACAAGATGAGGGGACCTCGCAATGCAAAATTATAAATAGATGGTGTCTGGTAGTTCCTTGAGGCCCTATATATTTCATAAAGCTGTGGGATGTATCGTATATCTGAGAACTATTGTTTGGCGTTCATGTATCATACAGCTTTGAGAGATTTGCTGAAGTTCAAATTCCAAATCATGAACCTCCACTTTCATCAACTTGGTACTCGGCCACACTTTATATACATCTATTCGTGGTACGAAATCACAAGAAACACTCACTAACTCTAAATAGTGTCATGACACGAAAATATGGGAAAAAGCGTCCTGCTGCAAGTGCGGCAGCTGTAGCCATTTTTGGATCCACGACTCAATCAGTTGCTTCAGTAAAGACGGTTTCCACTACAACCTCCAAATCGCAATCTCCACAGAGAGATCTTGCAGAAATCACGAATCTATTAGAAAATACAAATCTCTTAGAAGATACCGACGAGGTGACTGTCCTTCTTGAGAAGACAAGTCTGGAAAGTCGTGTCAATAGTCTTAACAACTCTCTTGACCTCGAAAATATTGATCAAGACTCTTCTCCCAGAGATGCCCTAAATCCCTCAGACGAGACAACTCTGGACAGTACTATCGAAACGATCGTCAGCTTAGAGAAAACTTTAGCACCAATTGAATCTAAAATCGAAGTCTCAATTCCTCAGACACCCGTTTCCAACTCCTCTACGCCACTCCCTATCAATCCACGCCTCACAGCCTCTCTCTCGCCCCTTTTGAACGCCTACGAAAAAGACAACGGCTACCCACTAGCTACTAAAAACTGGGACGATGTTCTGGCACCAGGCTCGAGTATCCAGAAAATTGCCGAAGCATCATATGCAGAAGTGTTTCGCATAACAAACCCAGTCGGGTCCTCAATTCTCAAACTTCTACGCCTCAAAGTTCCTACAGATCCCACGTCAAAGAAATCAGATACCGCAATCAAGGTGGACACTGTCGTATCTGAGATGCGTCTTATGAACGCCCTCACAGAGATCCCCGGGTTTGTAAAGTTCAAGGACGCGCACATAGTAGAAGGTAAACCACCAGCAGCGTTCGTAACAGCATATGAAGGCCATTTAGACGCTTGTGGGGAATCGTATTTTCCACACCCGAACAAGATCTCCAAACACGCGGTTTTCTTAGCTATTGAACTTGGTGATGCGGGACATGTTTTGGAGAGATATCCAATAAAAAATGTCGATCAGCTGTGGGACATATTTTTAGGTGTCGTCATCGCTCTTGCAAGGGCAGAAATAGAACATGAATTTGAACACCGCGATCTTCACGAAAACAATATCTGTATCCTCGAACGCACACCCCCACTGTCTGCTACTAAACCGAATTCAAAATCGAAATCAAAAACCAAGCCCCAAATTCTACCATCACCCCACAAATTTGGCAACTCAGGTCTCGAAATAACAATCCTCGACTATGGTCTGTCCCGCGCCACCATTTATCCTGTTTCCTCCTCTTCAAATCCTTCTCCAGCTCCCGAAACAGTTTTCTACAACCTTGAATCCGACACTGCTGTCTTCTCTTCTTTTGAACCCTCCACTATTGCCGGAGTTCAATTCGATACCTACCGTCGAATGCGAGCCTATCTCTTTTCTGGCGGCGTGTCAAACACTAACGTCAACACACCTTCAAAAGCTATACGTGATGCTATCAAACAAAAGAAACATTCCTGGGAAGAATATATGCCATATAGCAATGTGTTGTTGTTATACTTTTTGATAGAGTATCTGACGGAGGTGGCGCCAAAGGGAGGCAGGGGGAAACCAGGAAGGCAGGCATGGGTGAGGGAGACGGAGCAGTTGAGGTGGCTTTTAGATCCAGATTGGGTACCCGGAAATGGTGGAAATGATGGCAAAGGAGAAGATGAAGGCGAAGGTGAAGAGGAAGAAGAATTAGGATTAGGCTGTGCGGGAGATGTATTACAATATGCATTTGATATGGGGTGGGTTTGTGAGGAAGATTTAGGGGATGCAGACACAAGTCGTTTAAGTTTACGAGAAGATTCGTATGTTGGATTGGAAAAGGAAAAGAAATCTACGTCGCCTCCAGAATAGCCAATTATTCGAAGTCGAGGCTCTATTTTGTTTAGACGGTTATTGTGTTGGGGCGGCGCTTTGGATGTCTAGGTATGGCATGGCTTTTGGTGGGATGGAACTGGGTGGGTGGCGAATTATTTTTGTAGTGTCGATGGCTCCAGATAGGAGGGCTTCTATGGACTGCATGGAATGGGATGGCATGATAGAATAGTTCAGTTTGGCTAGATTTGATTCCCGCTTTTGTTCATGGAAATCTATTGTCATATTGTATACGACGATGCTATTAATTGAATGATTGATGCATAAATATGGAAGCTTTCGCAGTTTTATGGTTGTGTATTGGAGATGTTCATCAAGTAAATAATCCGCGGTGGAGGGAAATTATCACGTGTGAAATATTCGCCCCTAATGCCTTGAATACATGTGTATCCAAAGGAAAGTTATCAACTAGGACTTAAGATGATTTGATGACATAATGAATATTTCACTGTACAATCAAGTTTTAATGCAGATTTCTGGAGAAACACATCAATTGAGAAAAGGCCATAAAAATACAAACCGAGGACTCTCAAGGGGGCTCATGCGGTAATCTTGAAATGTACGGAAATACTAGGCTCCTATACTTTGAATACTGACGGGCTGTCTAAAGGCTTATGCCTGCTATGAGCTACTGTCGGAGGCAATATTTCAACAAATACAGTACTTCATGTTCTGAGAAGGAGAGTTCATTTAAATATAAATTGCCACCAATCTCATCAAACAGCCACGAAACCACCCTCAGACACCTTAGCAGCGCTCGATACTTCCGCACCAGTTCCGCATAGAACAATTTGCTTCCCACCATGATACCTGTCATTCCTTCATACTACAGGGGGGACGATTTCCGTCATGCCACCGCTGGGCGTCCATACACCAGTAGTAGACTCAAGACTATAATCATCAGTAAGAAAATCTCAACACGTCTCATGGTAACCTACAAAGCCTGTTGGTAAACACCCTTTGATTTCCTAGTAGTCACCGAAAGCACGCCAGGTGATTTGATTTCTGCCTTCGGAGATGAAATAGAAGGAGCGCCGACGCATGTCCGTGTAAAAGTTCCAAGCTCATTCCCGGTCAGAGTTGCAGTACTTCGATAAACATAACCATCAAGACCGATTCCAAAGACATCAATTCGGCCAGGAGATACCGAGATGGAGGTGGGCTTCATTCAGTATGAGCTTGAATCTCTCGCTGCACTCAAGGAGACTCACATCGTTTACATAAGAGCCGCCATGATTCTGCCCAGTTCCCCAGCCAACGCCAGCAGCTCGGTGGGTCAATTGCCTCAAAGTGCGATCTGCTGCAAACACGAAGATATCGATACATGATGCTTTGGAACACACAATGGTGGGTTTACTCAAGCAATAGCCAGCTCCAGCCCGCGATTCCCAACTGTTAGCCCAGGCACCTACTATAGTCCATGTGTGCAAAAGCTCTCCTGTAGTGAGTTCAACGCCGACTACCGATATGGATTGGTCGTAGCTTCGATCCAGGGCTGCTAGAGAGTCACTTCTTCTTTGTAATGTTAATGATTTGAAAGCCGCAAAGTCTAGAGAGTTACTCACATCTTCTTAATCCCGTCACCGATGGCTGTCCAGGTGAAATCAGTACTGAAGTAAAGTTTTAGTTTCAAATTTAAATTCTCTACATTTGGTGGATGAAAATCGAGAACATACTCGGAGGTACTTATCCCTCCGTACGGGATATGGTCTAATAATGAGACAAAAAGGACAGCGAATGTATTGGCAGTAGCAGTACCATAATGTGTGACAGTAGGGGAAGAAGCAGTCTTTTTACTGGTGGAGAGCCAGCTTGACCATCCTGTTGATTGACTGTACCATTTGTGGTTCAGAGTAAAATCGGTACCGCTATCAAAGTCAAGATTAATTACTGTCTTATAGCATTCCTGCAGGGTAAGGAGACTTACACGGCAAATGCATGGACCTTGCCGTTTGGCAGAGAGATAATCACAGGATCTAGGTTTGTTAAACCTTACCAGCTACTAGTACGTAGTGTTGACTGGATTACGTTCTTACCATAAATAAAGTCCCACCACTAGTGCAAAAGAATCAGCAAGGAAATCTAGATGTGGTAAGAGACAGAGGGGAATATGCTCCAAACAGATTTCAAAATTTCGACCCATGGAATTGAAATGAAGCTTCTACTACCACCTTCCAAGGCCACAGCATTGAGATGAATGTTTCAAACGGGCATCACTAAATAAATCAACTCACGAAACACCATTAAGGTCAACATCAGACCACTTTTTCGCCTCCCAATCTAGGTTGATTAGCCACGTTAAATCGATTTATGATACAAACCAAAATCTCAGAATAATTTTGCAGGCCACATACTTTGCACCCAAAGAGCTCTGAGAGAGTTCGTTAGCCAGAGGTTTTGACATTAATATGAATGGGGATCCATCGAGATTGAAGGAGGAAAGTGAAAATGAGAGATCAGAAACAAGGAAAGAGATGGAGAGAGGCAATTCTTAATATGAAGAAGAACTCACGAATCGGTGGCGACAGACTCCACCGTATTATTCGTTGTTGCAATAGTGACTCCTTGGATAGATGAAGTAGTAGACATCTTTATCTTGTATATATATTTGGATATCTTTCAGCTTAGAAAAGTTGGAATGTGTCGATACTTTATGTCCTTCCAAGCGTCTGTTAATTGGGGTATGATAAATTAGAGTTTGAAAGGTTGAAAAGCTAAACAAGAGACCACAGAACAAGCAAGAAGTTAAACGGGATTTAACTTATATAAATTTTCTTTTCGAGGGATATTGAGTTTATCCCAACTAAAAAACATGATAAGATATAATTCGTGGAAGAAAACAAGTAATGGTGTGATGATTGACACATCATGCAACTAGTGATCGCAACCACAGATGGCAGATAATGAATCAGCTTCCTCTTTGTACTTGGTCTCATGCAATGTAGCAGATGCGTAATGCTAATGCAAGTAGCTCTTTCAGTCAAGGGATACGGGCCTTGTTCTTGTTGCCGAGTGCAACTGCAATGGTTGCATGATTGACCTGAGAATGAGTCATTTATAGCGGAGTGTAGACGCCCGCTGGAACAAAATTGGCAAAACGATGCACATCATGCCTATCTTTCTGCATGACGACAAATGCAGAGCGCAGCGGGAGAAAAGATACGAGAGCCACATATAGTCATGGGATGTTTACAAATATGCGTCTTGGTACCTATTTTAGCCGACAATTGATGCTTGTACTTAGACTACTTCCCCGCGTTACACCGATCTAGATTCCGGAACTAAGTCTTTTTGCCTTCAAATGACATCTGAGTTGCAAGGGATGTGACAGCATGGGAGTTACTACAGGACGGAAGTGAAAGCACGAAGTAATTAGTGCATGAGCACTCGTTTATGATTATGTTTCGCTTTGTGATCGCTAGGCATTTTGAGATCCTTCAGAAAGTATTGTAAAGGTTGGATTTTACTACCTCAAAAGAGACAATTTAGATTAACATGTTGCAAGAGGTCTGTGAATCATTTTTCGTATCACCAAGTCTCAAAAACCGAGAATTTAATGTATCTTATGACAAAAGTATGAAGTGGCTATTGGAAACTATGACCAAACAATATCAAAATGAAACAAAAAATTCAACGAAAGCACAGAAATAAAGCCACAAATTGAGTAAGATTCAACCCATGAAGAGATTCCCTGAATTGACCCAGGAGTGATCAAGCGTGTGAGACTCCTCGTTTCTCATCAGCCTCTGCTTGAGTAACAGTATAGGGAGTTGGATTTCGGCTGTTCGCTTTCAATTCCAACACCAAAAACGTAGTCGCACGTCCTTGCAGTGGTTTGATTGCCCTAATACCTGTCCAAACTTCATCTAGTTGCACGACATAAAGGCCGGCATTCGATTTTGTATGAACTGGTCCCTTCAGCTTCAAGTGAAAGAGCCATTTGAAGGCACTATAAACTTGGATGGCAAGCCCGTGCCATCGTGTGCAGTATCGAGGACAGTAGGAAAAATGTTTAATTGGAGCCCAGCATCGACAATGCTTGCCTTCAAGTCGAGAGTTTGGGCCATCTTTTCAGTCGCAATTGACCAAGGCTTGACAGACTGACCGCTGGAGTCCTTCACGTTCCAATGTTCCAGTCCCGTGTTAAACAAGCTTTTGCCGTCTAATACTTTCATTTTGAGGCAGACGAGGTCAATAGACTTAAAAGCTATTCCATCATTAGAGCTGTTCGAAGCAGTCAATGTTAGATCGATGGTTTTGCGCGGCGGAGTCATATGCATTAACAAGAGATGTCCAATTTAGACGCGGGTGCAGGGTTGTCACGGAGGTGTCGGTGGTATAAGTTTCTATGACAATATTGTCTCCAGCGCCCTTTGTTTCCAAGGAAGGCCAATCAACTCGACTTTCTTTTGGGCTGCGTAATTCATGACATGTAAGTGACAAATTTACTTATCAAGGGGACTTGTTGAACTTACGAGAAGTTGATAGTTGCAAATGCACTCAGATCTTCGTTGAGCATGGTTGGTCCGAATGTGAATTCGCCGTTCCCTCCATACGTGAGCTTATTGATTCCCTGAAAAATATTCAAATCGCTAGCCAGTTTGGATAAAGCTCTGCCAATGTTGACCTTCATTGCTGACCGTATCAGAACCCATTTTGGATCTGATGTGGTTCCAGTGAGATTCGTAGAGAAGTCATTGGGTATGATTATATCAAGTCCAGTGTATGGGTCTTTCTCTATCTTGCATCCCTCCAAAATAGCTTTAGGGTTGTTTAAGACTGCGAGATTACCCACCATATCCTGAGAGCCGCTGACACCAATAGTGAACGTCCAGGAAGCGATATCGCTAATAATAAGGCTTTTTTTGGTCAGTCTCTATTCGAAACAAAATTGGTGTCATACCTACCTCGAGTATTCGCTCCGACAGGTATAGCCATATTCGCCACTTACCCTCAAAGCGGTCATTTGTGGCCCGGCTTCTATTGTTATCTTCGCCGTAGATGTTGTTCTAGTCTTTCTTCCTGCAATACCCGCTAACATACGGGTACTCGCCCCCGTATTATCTTTTACTTCTTCCCAACGATACGGTTTACCAGCCGTCAAATCTGCCGAGTTACCAACCACACGAAGTCGTCGGCCAGAAGTTAGATAATTTCCACCAATTCTTGCTTCAGGTCCGAATGGTATTGTCTGCATTGCAAGACAAAGATCTTGTAGTGGCGATAACAACTGGAATGCTCCGAAAACAAGGCGGCGGTCGAGTATAAAAGTTCCCAGATACTCACTACTTGTACCTTTACTAGGCCCTGCTAAGTTTCCCTGCACCATAGAGTCAGCTGCATGATCTATTGCACAAAACAGAGAAATTTTGTCTCCAGAATCGGCCGGCCAAAGTCCTCAGGTCATCATCTTACAGTAAATGGTAGGAATTTGGTTATGGGAAGGTCGACTCTGCTTCCCACCACTTCACAAAAGCAGAGACAATTATAAGGGCTTCCATTTACACCCTTCATAACTTGCCTACTGCTTGACAATTGTATCTGTCTCTCTTCATCTATGTAAGGGTAGTTCTGCATTCGCAGCGTCCTGGCAGCTTGATTCAAAGTCAAAACGACAATATCATGAGGCGCTCAGAAGAGACTTACCGAAGGTCACCTTCCCACTACTAACTTCAAAGAGTTAGCGACAGCAACAGTCATTGCCATTGGACTAACCTTTTGCTTTCGGCACCTTCAACAACATTCCTTGTGTAAAACAAGAGGCAAGTTTGTTCTCCAGGGTCCATTCTCTCAAGCATTGCTGGACCTCGTTGTAAAGAGCGTTATTTGCGGGGTCTTTAGCCCACTGCTCGAGAGAGACTTTCTGCCTACTCGGTTGCATCATGTATGAGCGCTCCCATATGATGCTGCCCCATGGGAGATCTATATCAAAATAAATCAACTTTAGCTTCCGCCTATTTTTAGAAGCCCTCACCAGCAATAGCAGCAAATAAGCGATGGATTGAGTATTCTCCAGGACATAGCTTTGTTGGCTTGTCGGATCTAAAGACCACACTCTCTTCCGTGTCTTCCACATCCGCCGCCGCAGTAAGATCTCCGATTGTTGCATTTAGACAATCTGCGAAAGAAAGTGGCGTGAAAGCAATCACCCAGCCATCAATAGTCTGATAGGTATTTTGGCCAAGAAAAATTCTCCCCTGATCAAAGCGAAGTTGGAGCATAAACTTGGAGTTATCGCCAGATTCTACATCAAGCTCTGCAATGTCATAAATTTAGTACTCGAAAAACTGGCTGCAGTAAAAAGCTGATTCTTTGACTAGGAATGACTTTTGAGTTATGTTTTACCTATTTGAGGGGGCAGCATTGTAGCCACCAACTGTCCATCAAAAACATCTTCATTGCTCCAGTGAATTGATCGTGCTGCAAGCGGCTGCTTTTCGAAAAGCTTTACAAAGCCTCTGTTGATGGCAGCTTGAGAAATGGCACAAACTTGATCGTAATGCTGCAACCCGTCGCCATTGCCACTGGTGTCGAGTTTGAAAGGGCCGGAAGAAAGACTCAAAGACATTGTAAGATCTGTAAAGCGAAATGATTCAAAATGCAAAAGAACACTTGACTAGCTAAAAAATTGAAGGTTTTGGCATATTATTGTGTAAGAGATTTCATGACTTTTGAGCATGGAGAGATTTGTGAAATTTTCAGATTATTTCACCAGTAAGCTTGGTGAAGCAATAGCATGAAAGCAAACATAGAAAACACGTGAAAAGCTACTTGCCGACAATCGAGTCGAACAAGCATTACTGGCTTGATTTTGTCGTAAGGGATGCAAACTAGTAACCGATATCCCTACATCGTGCACGTCCCTGTATCGTGCATGTTTTTAAACTCACCCTACAACAACTTCAATATTTAATAATAAATACATTCAATAAGATATAAAGCTATAAGTTGTCTAAGAGTATAATAAGATATAATAGATTAGAAAAGAAGATTTAAAACTTCCTTATTTAAACCTTGTAGGAATCTTGATCTGTCGGTCTCGTTTCGACTGTATAACCCCTTTCCCTTCTTTTATTATTAATTCATTCACTATTATTATATTAGAGGGCTCTATAGCTTTCTTAGATATTAGATCTATAATATATGAACCTTTTTGAAGCTTTAAATCTTTTTTAATAGAAGATCCTATTGATTTATAAGTTCTTTTAATTTTCTTTTTAGTATCTCTTGTAAGTTGATGATCCACCTTCCTTTATGCTATTCTCTTTTTAGCTTCAATCATCTCCTTTTCCTTTTTAGCTTTCTTATTAGCCTTTTCCTGTATCTTAGCTTCCTTTTCCTACTCTATAGCAAGCGTTTTCTCTGATTGGAAGATCTTAGCTCTTTCAATCTGAGAGGGGGAGTATAAAAAAGCATTACTAGTCTTTTCCTCTACGAGGTTTAAATGTTTGGAACGAGTTCTTTTCTTCTTTTCCATCTTTAGAGCCTCTTTTAGACCTTTTGCTTTATATGATTGAATATCAGCTTTAGCTGTATTAGTAAAGGCAGCCTTAAAAAGCTTCGAAGTAATTTCGAGGTTCTGATTTTGTCGAAATTCTAATTTAAGTTGATATAGAGCTTTTGACATATATAGTGTTTTAAATTTATTCTCTATAAACTATATCGATATAAATAGTATAATAGCTTTTTCTGGCTTTATGCTAGGTATAGTAACCTTCTTGTTAAGTGAATAAATGCTTGCTTTTTCGAAGGATTGTAGTATATTATGGGAAGTTGCAGATTGAGCCCAAGTCATTTTAAAGATGGTCCAAAAGTTGCGTTTTGATATGCTAATTAAACTTCTGCTTTTATGTATCCAATTATTAAGTTTTATACTATAATTTGTCAAAAGAGGGAGGAAGTAGCCTATATCGAGTGGTTGTAATCGATATATAAAGTGGGAAGACAGAATCAACAATATAATTTTCAATTTATTGTATTTTGATATAAATTTTATATTGATATAACTAAAATAATTATCTACAATCAATAACTAATATCCTTTGTCTGCTTTTAGATATATATAGTGTTGAAAGACTTTTGTAAGCCAATTAAGCCCAAAAGTATTAGATAACCACCCATTATTTGAGATTCCGAAATAAACTTGATCTTTTATACCCACCTTATCAATCTATATATTTTATAGATTGCCTGATTTCACTTTATAGATTAAAATAGATGATAGAGCTGTATTGTTGGCAGCTATATATGCTAAAAGGATAATAAACTTTTTCGATTTGTTTTGTTTAGCTTTCGTAATTCTACCTCTTTTATATATATTAATATTCATTATCCTTTTTATAACTCTCCCAAGATTAATCAGAAATCCCTTCTTATTCCAATTATATATATTTTTCAATGCAATATCGTATTTTATAATCGCTTTTGTTAACTAAATAAATAAAAAAAAGAAATTAGCAAAAGCTTTTTTAAATAATATAAATCAACAACAATATAAAATAGCACCAACAAGATTATAAAAGTATTCAAACATATCCACATTATCAGCCTTGATATACAAATTATCAATGCAACAGAAATATCAACTTTGAATACAACTTTTATATTACTTAACGAAATTGGCCATCTAGTTCTTCTTTACAGAGCATCCTCTTATCTCTTCTGCTAAATTTCTAACTATAGCACTTGTAGGAGATATAGATCTTTATATTAACTTGTTAATCTGATCTAATAAAGCCTTTTTCTGTTTTAATAAAAAACATTGATATATATTGGTATAGTTTATCTTATGGGAAGTGGTTTTGCCTCTATACCATTTTGAGAGTGTAATACAATCGACTCTATATAAATAAGCTATCTGAATATATTTAGAACATTCTTGGCCTTTAATATGATCTAGCACAAGCTCTATATAGCTTTCTGAAGACATATTATCGCGATATTTAAATAGTGATATTTGTTAGAAAAGGTGCTTATACCGCATATCACGCTATGCTGTATCGGGATTAGCCTGTATGTGACTCTGTCGAGTTTATATATATATATCGTATCTCTATATAGAACTTAATAATATTAAGGCTTTTCCACCAACTCATATATGATTTTCTAATAGGTTATAAGCCCAGGTTTATGTAGCACTAGGATTAGTTTTCCGAAATTACTTGATTAATACTACAATAGATAGTGGCGACTTCATTAAATTTAGAGGCTGTTGTTTTTATAAACATAATCAAATCTAAAAGATATCCAGGTGGTATCTGGCTCAATACGATTAAGCGATTGGGGGAGCATAGCTTTGTTCGGTGAATGAATCTGGCTTCGGTACTGTTGTAAGATTCCGGTATTCTGTATAGTATTATAAAGTACACAATACTATCACAGTGAAGATTGTAATAAATATTTAGATATACAGTATTATAGCGATCTAATCTATAAAGTTGAAGATAGTGGAGACTGTACGAAATATTTAGATACGCAGTATTACAATAATTTAATTTATAGGGTTGAAGATAGTGGAGACTGTACAAAATATTCAGGTACGCAGCATCACAGTAATCCAATTTATAGGGTTAAAGAGGGCAATGAAGTTTTGATAGACAACTGCTATCTATTCTTATCTTCTTTCAACAATTTGAGAATCCTAGTTATAATACAATTCCCTCGATTTCCTATCTTTCGATTCTTTTTTTCATCTCGATCCTTGTAAGCTTTATATTGATGGTAACGATATGGTATAAGCAATCGATAGTGCTTTACAAATCAATTAAACTTTATATAGTTAAGGATTACCTATAGAAAATCTTAAAATTGAGAATATTTTGAATATAGTTTATAAAAGAACTACAAAAACCTATCTGATTTAATAAAGATTTTCTTTGTCTCAGAAATTTTCTTATTATCCCTTTTTATTTTTAACAGTTTTTCGATTATTTATATCTATAATCTAATAAGTATAATAATCATTGGATTATTGTTTTATTTAATACTAGTTTTTATAATATTAATTTGTTTCACTCACCAATTCCACTATTTTACGATATTTCAGCTTTCAATCTCATCTCCTTTCAACTTTGATCTTTTTTCACTTATTTATAGTTTGTGTAATATATTCTATTCTAATAGATTAGTGTATATTATTAAACACAGATCGATTATCTTTTTTTTCGATTATTGTCTTTATACAATTTCGACTTTGATCTTCTATGTTGATAATGGCTATACTAGTGATCAAGGGGAAGGAAGAGTATATAGGGAGCCGGAGAATCTGTAGGGATCTGAAGGTATTGAGTATAGAGAGCCGAAGGTCCCAAAGGGAACCGGAGGCGATCCGAAACTATATGTAGAGGAGGAGTGGATGATTATAATAATGGAAAAACGTATATTACTATACTTGAGGAAATACTCTAATATTTCATTATATAGGAAATAATGGAACTATTTTCTACACTCCTTATAATAAAGGAAAATAAGAATCAAGAGATTCTATATGATTAGAATAATTATATAGAATACTGTATCCCAGCTTCTCTAAGAAGTAGAGTAGGACGATATACTCTGTGAAGGACTGTCATAAAAGGATTCAATTCTACCTTAAAATCTAAAACTAAAAAAGAAAAAAAAGAATAAAAAGAGAACTGTAAGGGCTCCGGACTATATATACCAATGAGTCACATGCTAAGCTAAGATCCTAGAAGCTAAATGACTAAGAAAGGAACCTGAAAGGAACTAAATCGTCACATTACCCCCCTATCTAAAAAAAGCTTGTCTTCAAGCACTTATTCATCTCTTTATCTCCAATAACATTATTATACTCATTATTATTATCTTTATAGTGTTTCAGTCATTAAGGTAGTACCTTAAACAGGCCAGGAAGGTCTTGATTGGCTAGATAATACTCTTTGAATTTGTAAGGAAAGTATTTGAAGTTATCAGTAGTGTATCAGGTAAGGTCAATATTGTAATTATGCCATTATACTCGATAATAAATACTATTACAAGTACTCTTCAAAACTATGATTTATTCGATTTCTTATTCTTTTTTACCAGTAATATTGATTAAAGGGTTAGGATTGTTCATTTGATTAGGAAGAGGGTCATTTATAGTTTTTCGTAGCTTTTCAGTTGGGAATGTATCGAAAATTTTTATTGTATCTGGTAGCGTTAACTTGAAGGAATACCCTACCTTTTCGATAATAAGGAACTTGCTGTTTATTGGAAAATCTAGTTTTTTTTGAAGAGTGCTTGGTTCGGTAGTATTGTATATCAAGTTATACAAAATCGCCTACTTTGAAATCGACAGATTGTTGATATACGTTAGTCTTGAGCTAGACTCTTTCTTGAATATCTGTAAAATGTTTTATAACAAGTTTCCATACATTGTAATATCATTAAGCTATAATATAGGCTTTATTTATACTAAGCTTATCCTTGATTTCAATATTATAAAACTTTTAATTCTAAAAGGTTTATAAGGAATAGCTATATACAACTTCAAATAAAGAAATACTATCAAAAGAATTGTAAGGTAAGATAAGCTATACATAATCTATCATTAATAAAAGCTCTAAC